CTTTGTTCCTTGTCCCCACCCCCTGACATGTCCTAGTCAGGAGGGAAGCAGCTCCCTCGGTGCCCTGGCTGGGGCTGTACCTCGCAACAGCGGATAGGGCCCGCGCCTTCCAACAATCAAGTCACTTTTCTGTGCTTCAGTACCCACATCTGCACATCAGAGTCATGATAGTGCATATCTTAGAGGGTTGTGGTAAGGATTCAATGAGTTAATAGAATAGAACATCCAGCAGGGTGCCTGCGTGCAGAGGGTCCTCGGTAGGTATCACCCACCATTTTTATCACACGAGGAATTCTAGAAATCCTCCACACGATATATTTTCCACACGTTCTCACCCTGAAATTCTTCCTCTGCTTATTTTTTTGGGATGGTAGCACTTTCAAAACTCCTTTTCAGAAACATGGGTCAGTACCTCACAACACAGCGTCGGGGTTAAGAACAGGGACTTGAGGTCTGGCTAGCTGGGTGACAGTCAGGTGGTTCTACAGCCTCTCTGAGCTTGACTTTCTTTTCTTTCGGTAATGACAGACTCTGAAAGATTCTTCACCACAGTGTGCAGCACAGCATGGGGGCCGGTCCAGGGAGTCGACTCACCACACCAGGCCCCCACCCACGCCCACGAGGCTGGTCCTGGCTTGGACTCCAGAGGTGACTGTGCCCATTAAGCCCCCTCCTAGGTGAGAAGATTGTGGCAGGGGAGAAGTGACTTTCCAAGTATTGTGAACTTGGCTCAGGCTGGCTCTCTCTAGAGGCCTGGCACAGGGGGCCATTGTTCCTGGCAGGATGGGGGTCATTGTGTGCTTTGTCTCTGACCTGAAACCTGGAGGGACCTACAGGGACTTGGGGGCATTGCTGGGAGGGGCATCAGGACACAGAGTGAAGCCCCCACCCTGCCCCCACCCTGCCTGCTCTTCTCAGCTATGGGGTCCCCTGATCTGCCCTCCCCCTCTGCTCCCTGGGCCTGGCCCCTGGGGGACAGCTCTGTGCAGGAGTGGGACCCAGGTGCCGCCTTGGCCCCTCAGTCATGGCCTCTCTGATATCTCGAGGCCTCTGCAGATCTCAGGAAGGATAAAGCCTGGCCCAAACAAGGGGATAAGCTTTAGCCATGTTTTCATTTTTTTTTTTTTTACTGAGATTGTAATGGAGAAAAAAAAAAAAAGTCAAGTAAAAAATAGCCCCATCTGGACCGAGCAGGAGAGAAAGCAATTTCCTTCTGAAATCTCTTTTTCTGATTCTCGAAAAATGCAATTTGGAAATGTCCTGGTGGCTCTGGCTGGGGGGTGGACCAGGCCACCTACAAGGCCTGAAGCACCAACCTATTCCCCATCCTCTTACTAACCCAAATCCATCATGTCCGCCACCCTGCCCATTAGACCATCACCCCACTCGCCAATCCATCCAGCCCCAGCCAACCTATCATCCCTCGCCGTGCCACGCCACCAACCTCTAAGCAACGTGCTGACCAGCTCACCAACCAGATCACCCACCAGCCGACCAATTTGCTAACCCACTGCTCTGCTAATCAACCAGTTCTTTCACCACCCCACTAATTAGCCTATTGACCAACTCACCAATTAATTCATCACGCCACTGTCCACTCAGAAGATAGACATGGCACGGTATTATTGACAGAAAAGATTTAATATAAAGAACTGTTAATTATGAGAGATGACCTACTAGAGCAGGGGATTACTACCTGCTGTAAAAATACAGGGACAAGGGGCTGGGGCTGGGGCTCAGTGGTAGAGCGCTCGTCTAGCACGTGCGAGGCCCTGGGTTCCATCCTCAGTACCACATAAAAATAAATGAATAAAATAAAGATATTGTGTCCAACTACAAAAAAAAATAGTAAAAAAAAAAATACAGGGGACAGGGCAGGGGCTTGTCTCCGTGTCCCCAGCGCCCCACTCTCCTTCCTAGGCTGACCCCTGAGCCTTTGCTAGAGAAGGCACAGCCCGGCCCACAGGATGCCCAGCCCTTTGCTGCTGTGCTGCAGGAGGCAGGCCACCCTCTGCGGTGCTGGTTGCCCTGAGCTGCTGACGCCTGATCCAGGGACTGGGAGAGAAGCCATTTCCTCAGCAGCATCCTTCCTGCCCCTGTGCTGACAAAGCCTAGCTAGGAACCAGGCATTAAAGGAGAAGGGTTTCCAGGGCCCAGCTCCCTGGCCAGGCAAAGAAGGGTGGAGTCAAAGCTGAGTGGCAGAAGGCCCTGCACAGGGCGCCCATTCCCTCCCACTCCACCAGCCCACAAACCTCTAACCAACACGCCTGCACCCACCAACCAGGCGTCTACCCACCCGCCCACCGTCTGGAGCCTCGTTGGCGCAGGTGCTAGGCCACTCCAGGCACTGTGCTCGGCGGTGACGGGGAGAGTGGGAGAGCGTGGAAGGATGGTCTTCACCCTCAAGGAGAGGCCCTCAGGGGTGATTTGTCCAGATCTGCAACATCTGCAACCAACGCCTATGACTAGCTATGGGCCAACAGGGGCCTGTCACACAGGTGACATCCCTTAAATGCACAAGCAAATTGCTTAATGGTATAGAAGAGCTTCCGGAGGAGGGAGAGTGGTCTGGGCTTTGATGAACGAGCAGAGTGGACACTTGGACTTGGAAAGGGAGAGGGAGGAAGGTGGGGACAGGCATCTCTGGGACCCTAGTGTCAAGAAGGCCCAGGCGCAGGAAGACATGCATGTGACGGGCTCACTGAACTGGAGCCCCCATCACACTAGCTCTCAGAGGCCTGCAGGGAGAGAGCATCCCTCTTGTCTCATTGTCCCATTGAGAGGGATGCAAATCCACCATTAGCTTCTTCTTTCTCAGATGGTGGACAGGGTTTCCAGCTAATGGGGCTCTTCCTTTTTCTTTAAGGACTAAACTGGGATTAAAAGAAGTTTCAGGGTCTGGGGATTTAGCTCAGTTGGTAGAATGCTTGCCTCACATGCACAAGGCCCTGGGTTCAATCCCCCGCACCACCAAAGAAGTTTCAGCTGGACATGATACCTGCCTAATCCTGGGGAGTTGGGAGGCTGAGGCAAGAGGATCACAAGTCCAAGACCAGCTTTGGCCACGTAGCAAGACCCTGTCTCAAAGTAAACTAAGAAGGGGGCTGGGATATGGCTCAAGCGGTAGTGCATGCGTGCAGCCCGGATTCGATCCTCAGCACCACATACAAACTAAGATGTTGTGTCCGCTGAAAAAACTAAAAAATAAATATTAAAATAAAAAAAATAAACTAAGAAGGGTTGGGGATATAGCTCATGGTAAAGTGCCCCTGGGTCCAATCTCATTACCCTCCACCCCCAAAGTTTCATCTAACATGAGGCAGACATCAGAAGGAACTTCCAGTCTAGACCAGCTGGGGGCTCAGGAATCTGATTCTCTGTAGATCTTAAAGAAGAGAGACTCCCCTGCATCTGGGCTCACTGCACAGAGGCAGGGGGATAACTGTGATGACCCTTCTTAACCTTGTTATAAAGTTTCCCATGGCCCAGGTCCACCTGCTCCCAGATTCCCATCAATGGCTCAAGTGCCATTAAGTATCTTGAAATAAAAATCTGACTTCAGAATCAATTGATGGAGAAAGGTTCTCCAAACATTCGCCAGCGAGAGTAATTAAATTCCGATAGGAGAAGATGGAGCGGTTGGTGACGACCGGGTGGTGGGGGCAGCGTGCTGGCGCCGGGCTGCTGAGCAATGAAATCGCGGGTGTGCGCAGCCCAGAGCTGGCAGCCGCACAAAGGAAATTGGAGCAGTCAAATATTTCCCTCCTCGTTGAGTTCCATTTACATGTTTATAATAGAGGTTCTTAAGGCCCTAATGAGAAGGCTGCTCATTGCAGGGAAGAGGATGATTAAGGCTCTGCCAGACGAGATCAGGGACAGGAACAAAGGCCTGTTAATTACCACAGAGGGACAGAGGAGAGCCAGGCTCTGCTTGCAGCTCCCCCAAAGCCTCTCCAGACCGGTGCCTTCCTGTTTTCCCAGGTTCACCTTTGCCTCAGTCCAGGTGATTTCTGCGGAGTGCATCGGGCAGATCCCCAGCGCTAGTGGCTCTGGGACATTTTCCACCTCCGCTCCCCAGGGATTAATTTCAGGCTGCACCCAAGGGGCCCAAGAAGATCCCTCATCTGGAGCTGCTTCGCTGGGGGCTGGAGCTTGGAGGAAGCATATTGCTTGAGTGCTTGGCTGTTGCCTGAGCAGGAGGAGGCAGCCCACCTGAACCTGCAGAGCCTTGAGGAGATCACCCCAGGCACTCTTTCTACCTTCTGGATGCCCAGGAGATGAGAATGTACCTGTGGAGATCCAGGCCGGAGCTAGTGACTGGCCAGGCCTTCTGATGCTACGGTGGAGAGAACTTGCCAAGCTGGTTTCAAGGCCTCTTTAGCAGCCAGAGTTGAAGGTACAGTGGGAAAAGTATAGGCTTTGGGTCAACAGATCAGGGACAGGAACAAAGGCCTGTTCATTACCACAGAGGGGCAGAGGAGAGCCAGGCCCTGCTTGCAGCTCCCCCAAAGCCTCTCCATTAGGTGTGCTGTTTCATAGTGTGGTGTCCTGTGCAGGTTATTGACCTCCCTAGGCCTCAGACTTCATCTGTAAATGGTCCAGTCTCACCTGCCACCCTGGGTTGGTTTGATGACTCAGTTAGAAAAAGCTGACCCAATCTGGCACACAGTAGGTGCTCAGTCTATGATGGTGACCTTTCCCCCCAACTTCCTTGGGGGCTGGATTGGTGTTCTGAGGATGAAGACCTAGGAAGTCTTTACCTATGACTCACAAGGACATGAGGCTGAGTGTGTGCAGTGTCCACGGCCCTCAAACCTGTACCTGCTGATGGCTTGTCTGTTTGTGGTAGAAATGTCTGGGAATATCGAGGGGGAAGAGGAAATCTTAGGCCAGAGAATGGGTACACCGCTTGTCGAGTGTCCCTTCAGGGCTCAGAAGATAAGGGGAAGATGACATAGGAGATGAAAGCCACGGATTTGGGGAGCTTCCTGATTTCCCCATGAGGAAGAGGGATCAAAGGAGTAAGAGGAGTCATGTAAAGCAGAGTGAACCTGGAAATTGAGTGAAACTTGCTGATGATGGTTTTGTAAAGGTCCAAAGCAGAGGCTTCTTAATTCGAATCCAAACTGAGAGCCCCACGCTCCCTGGAGGAGACGGTGTTGTCTCGGGTCTTCTCAGGGTCAGTCCTGGGTGGTGGAGCTCAGAGGCTGTTACCTGAGGGGAGGACTGGGTGGCTGGGGACAGGCAGCTGGGAAAGCCACAGGGCTCCTTTGCTTTCTGTGGAGCTTTCTGTGGAGCTGTCCGTGGTGCTGGCCATCGTTCCCTCCTGGCACTGCCTGACTGGCCACCCCTGCCCCCTCCAACCTGAGGCTCTGCCAGACTTGTCACCGGCAGAGCTCCCACCCCAGTCCTCAGTGCTGAGGCCTGAGCAAGTACCAGTGCCTTCAGACATCCCGATCACTAACCCCAGCCTGCACCCAATGCTGATCTGAAGCCCAGCTCTACCCCTCATCCCTTCCTCAATCACTAGCATCACTTCCAACCTCAACCCTAGTATTGATTTGAACTTGGGGTTGGGTACAGCACTGGCTTCTCCCTCCCTCAGCTCCCCTCTCTGGTCACTGTGATCATGGTTGAGCCTTTGTGGCAGGCACGGAGGGGTACAGAAGTATGTCCTATATGATTCTTTCTCTTGAGGACCTTGGCTGTGTGCTCCTCCTGCACTCGCTGGCAGACGGAGGAGCCCAGGCATTAACAATGGTCAGTGTCAGCATAGGTAGCATTCTCCCAGAAGAACGTCTTCAGAGGAAATGCCACCATCATTTCCCAAAGGCAAAGGGAGTGGACTGCGGAGTGCACTATGGAGTGCTTTGCATTCTGCCACGGTTCTGCCCCTGCTGCGTGTCCATGACTTCTGCATCCCAGAGCCTTTGGGCCACTGTACATGTAGCACAGGTGCGGGGAGGAAGAGAAGAGCTTCTCCTCTCCCAGGGACAATAGAACAGAGGGGGACACAGTCCACCTTGTTTGTATGTAAAATTCTGAGGAGTCCTGACTAGTGCAGGAAGTATCAGGCACAGAGTGCCCACCATGGCAAGTCCCTCACAGATCTCCACACCCTCACTGAACGGAGTGAGAAAGTCAAAGGTCCAGAGAGGTTAGGTGACTTGCCTCTGATCACAACAATAGTAGGTGGAAGAGTTAGGAACTGAATAAATCCTTCTGGCTGCCAGTCCTAGAAGCTGAAGAGGACCAAGGAGGAGACTTCCTGCAGGAGGTGAGTTTGGGGAAGGGGAGGGGACAGGGACTTCTCAGCTGAGGGCCATTGTCAGGAGGGGTAGGCTTGGGGCTGAGGAGGGAGTTGAAGAGAGATTCGTCCCGGAATGGATGAATGCTCTGTGGCCTGTCTGGACTTGGCCTCTGTCCAAGGTCAGTCACCGGGGACAGTTCAGAGGGAGCAGAGGACATGCCTAGGGGAGTAGCAGTCCTTCCTCCTTGCCTGGTTCCCCAGCTGGGCCTGTTCTCTGATGAGATGGAGAAGGGGGATGAGGGGAATGGCACCAGAAGAGGACATGTGGCCTTCTCGGGGTTGATGGTAAGGCCCCCATGTCTTGGTTGACTGACTCTCCATTCACTGCCCCCAGGTTCCCTTCTTCTCTCCCCATAGCCACCATCCTGGACCAGGCTGTGCCTGACCCCATGTCTTCCCTCCTGCTCACAGCCAGAGGGATCTTCCTGAGATCTTTTCCCTGCCAAATTCCACCCCACCCTTCTCCTTGGCTTTCTGGATCCCTGAAGCTTGCCCAAGCTGAGACACTACTAAAGCCAAAGGGAGCACTATGAACAGCGATGCAGGGGCCGCAGGCACACCAGGGTGCTCCCTGCGGGCCCTCAGGGCTTCCCCTGCCACCCTCAGCTCCTGAGCAGCTGCGACCTGCCAGGCTCAGGCCATCGGGCAGCTTCCCGGACCTTGGAATGGAAGTCGAAGAGGCTGAGGCCGGTCAAGCTGTCTACTTACTTCCTGGCTGAGACCTGGGCCTGGGCTCTTCTCCTCTGTGCTGAACTCTGTAAAAAGGGATGATTGTTCCCGCTCTGCTCATTTCCCAATGAGACATAGAATATGCCAGTACTTGGCAAACAGATGTACCGAATACCTGGGGCTTGTTGCAGTTATTGTCCCCATTTCCTGCCCAAATTTTGGCCCCAATTATTTACATTTGAGTTTAAATTCCCTCTACAATGGAGCCTTGTTCCCTGCGTTTGATGCTGTCATCCTCTGCAGCCTGCAAATTACTCATTGTCCCCCTCCCCATATTAGTCACAGCTGGCCAACCCCATGCAGGGGAAGTGGCATCTTTTTTCCCTGCCTGCCATAGCACAGCCCTGGGCACCCAGAAAGAGCCCCATCATGTTGATTCCAGGTTGCTGAAGTCCATCTTTAGCTCAACGGTTCTCAAACTTAAGCCCATCTCAGAGTTTCCTGGTGGTCTGGTTAAACTCCAAATTACTGGCTCCCACCCCCCGATTACTGATGGAAGAGACAAAAGGTGGGACTTGAGCGTTTGCATTTCTAAGAAGTTCTCAGGTGATGCTGATGCTGCTGGTCCGGAGACCACAGTTTGAGAACCGCTGCTGCTCTCAGCAAAATCCTTGCCTGCCCTTCCAGTCTAAAGGGGCTGAGTGGAGATGGCTTCCTGGGAAGAATGGGGGTGGAGTGGGGAGCAGCACTTCAGACACCCTGGAATGCAGCCCTCCACTTCCATCTCAGTGTTGGATGTCCTCAGCCAGAGCTTCGACATTCAAGTTTATCTGCGTGGAGCAATTAGAGGGAGGGAGCAGAGCAGGAAGGCGGCTGCATATTTCATGTTGTTCCAGGCTTTGAAGGTCCCAGGAAGGCCGGCTCATGCGTGACAGTCGCAGTCAGTGACAGCTTCATCCTAATGAGGGATGGGGAGATGCACCCTGCTGGGTCGGGGTGCAGAGGCAGGGGCTCCTCAGAGGTGTAGGAGGATGGGCGGGATGGGGAGGGCAGGGGGCCCCTGTGACTATGGATGGAAGATGGAGCAGAATCTGCTATTGCTCTGGGTCCTCCTGTTGCTTCACCCCCTTCTCCCCAGCATGCAGGGTAGTGGTGAGATGCCTGGAGGATCTTCCAGTGCTATCTCTAAGGGCCTGCCTCCACCCCCAAGGGTAACTCTGGGACATCCCTCCCCTCCAGAGAGACATTTCAATACTATCAAAAGCTTCTGGCAAAGCAAAGCCAGGTTCCTGAAACTGTCCCCAACTGGGTTCTGGTGGCACTGAGAGCCTCTAAATCACCAGAGAATAGGGCTCATTACTATTCAGTTTCAGATCTGCACCCTGTTTGCCTCTTCCCACTCCATCCTCCACCCGACCTCCCCCAGCAGGGACCAAGGCCCTTTCTAAAGAGCTTATAATTGAGGTCTTGGGAAGAATCGCTGAACTTTCCTAAAACAGCACCTTCCTTTGCCTTAGTCTTACATGCATGATGCCACCCTCAGCACAGTGCTGATGTAGGAATTTGGCATCTGAGATCCAGGGTGCTGGGGAGTGAAGGGGGCGAGGTCCCTGCTCAGATACAAGGCTTGGGGGCCCTTTCTGGGAGCAGAGTGGGGTGGTGTGTAGGCCCAGGGCCTTCTGGTATAGCCTTAAAGGGCTCTGGGCACCTGGAGTTGGCTGCAGTGACAAACGTGCCCTTTTGGGGCTCTGTAAGGGCCCGTGACAACCTCTGATGTGTCACAGAACCATTTTGCATTGGTGACCCTGGATTTCTTATTCACAGACATCCGTAATTCTCAGTCTGGGCCAGGATGGGGTCTGCACCGAGCGGGTTCCGGTACAGGACTGTGCAGACTCTCCTTGCTGTGTGCTGTCCTAGTCTTGCTTGGGGTCTAGAGCTGTGTTTGGCCTTCAAAGGTACCCTTAGTGGGCAGGGCCTTGGGAGGTGGGAAGGGAGGGTGGCCGAGCCATCTGACTTTCAATCAGATGGATTCCAGATTGGATCCTGCCTTTGCTTCCTCGTGTCTAAGGGTTGACCTTGGACAAGTCATGTGACCTTTCAGAACTTCGGTTTGCCCTCTTGAAAATGGGGATGATGATATCAGTTTTGCAGGGGCACCAGCACGGTGCTTGGCACCTGCAAGCCCTAAAAAACAACACACAAGACTTTAAGCAGGATGCCTCAGAAAGCTGTTTAGGGTCTCACCTGGCCCCAGGGCCTCTTCCCTCCAGCCCAGACCAGGTGGAGCCAGAGACCAGCCCTCGAGCCCCCTCCCTCAGAGTGGTTGGAGTGAGCATTCAATCCTGATTAGCTCCACTGGGCTCCCTCGTAACCTTTTCATTAGGAAATTATGTTTAATAGAAATTGTTCTGACACCTCTCAGCAGTGTTTCCCTGCAATTCATTACCATGGGGAGGTGGGGGAGGGGGAGGAGGCCGAGCAGCCCAGCTCCATGGGGGAGGGGCCACCTGTCTCCCCACCCTGTCCCTGGTTCAGCGGCTGCAGTGTGCGTAGGACAGGGATGTTCCTGCTTGGCATCCTCACGGAGGATGGGCCTGGCCTGCTCTCAGTCCCTCTCCTGATTTGGGACTCCCCAGCTGTTGCCAATGGTGCCCGTGTGTTAGGGCACATGCAGTTCTTGTTTTGTCCTCATACTGTGTGTGTGGGGGGGTAAGTAGGAGGGCAGCACTCCCAGCTGGGCCCTCTCCTAGGCTGCCGTCTCTATACCCTCTCTGCTCCCTTCCCCCCCAGGGCCTCGCCGGGTGAACCCCCTCCAAGTCTGCTCATGCTGGACTTTCCTCCCTTCTGCACCTGGTCCCAGGGAGATGAGGTGTTGACACCTTTCTCTCACCTGAGCCAGGGGTGACTGGCTTGCCTGCTCCTGCCAGGTTGGACCAGGGAAGGCTGAGGCGAAATTCCTTTGCCTTATCAATCCATCTGGGGCCTTGGGGTTTCGTTTTGAGGACCAAGGCCTTCCAGAATCCTCCTGTCTCTCCCCTAACTCCAGGCGGTACTGTGTTGGTCCTCCTTGGTGGCCAGGGGCCAGGCCAGTGAGGAATGCTGATGGAGAGTCACTTCACCTTCCCTTTCTGCCCACTTTCTTGCAGACCCGACAACCAACTGAAAAGTTCTCTGTGTTCCTCCTCCTGGGTCCACGGCTGCTGCTCTTCCACCCATGGTGCTTGGGGTTTTCTGCCTGGCCAAAGGAGGTGGCCCTCATCCTGTTTGCCCTTGAAGAAAGAGGACCTAGGAACATGGCTTCCAAAACAGTGCTTGAGCTCTGGGGCCAGCCCTGAGGCCGCTGCGTGCCTTTCTGACCCGGCAACGGGTGAGACCCCCTTGCCACTCACCACCCAATGTCTGAAATTAGCAGCAGCCTAATCTCTCCCTGCCATATCACTCAGTGGGGTAATTGTGCAGGAAAAAAAATGTATTAAAATGCAAAACACTCAGTTGTACTTCTTTATGTTAAATCCCTTCTTCGCTCTATCTCCCTTTTAATTTTACAAGGTTTTTTTCCTCTCTCCCCCTTTTATAAAGAGGAGAGCTGGGTATGCAGGGAATCATTTCAACTCTCCTATAAATCTCCAAAATGAATACTTAAATTCGAGGAAAAAAAATACATTCTTACACCTTTAATTTCCCTGCTATGAAGTATAATGAAAAAGCCTGATTATTTTTAATTCTTCCCTTTAATAATTCAGCGGCGGAGTGATTTAAGACTAGGATTCATAATTACCTTTCCGCTTTCTTGGCAAATGGAGTTTTAATAGAAATGAGAGCTCTGGCGACTGAAATGGATTTCAACAGGTCGCTGGGGGGGGGGTCAAGCCTGACACCAATTGGTAGAGGAGTGTTCTAGGTCCCCCAGGATGTGAGGTCTGGATTAGATACCTGGGCCCCGGTGGGGGACAGAGGGGGAAGAACATTGCCTGCACTTGCTGGGACCAATTGTCAAAATAGAAACAGAAGGTCACAATGTGGTGTCGAATGACCCATGTGTCCTGCAAGGTAGAAACTGGTGAGAACAACAGGAGGAAAGTGTTCTGATTAGCAATAATGAGCTAACAACTGTGGTGTTAGTGATAGGAGTCACTGTTAATTGAGTAAATGCTATGTGCTTCGAAGCCATTCTCTCTTCTACCCTTCATATAACCTATTCTATATGTGGGAAAACTGAGGCTCAAAGAGGAATAAAACAAGATAAACTCAAGGAAAATCACAGAGCTGGGGTCTGAGCTCAATTCTGACTCTGAAGCCACCACTGCCCTTTTCTGACAACCTTCCCAAGTACCCAGAGTCCATTACCCAGACATTAGGGGCATAATGCAGACATGCTGGAGGGGTGGGGTCCTGGATAGACCATGCAAAGGGCCCCAGACTCTGATCCATTGTCCTTTGGCTTCCAGACATCGAGGAAATCATTTGTATGTACCTCAGTTTCCTCATCTATAAAGTGGTGATAAAAAAAAAACTGACTTGTCTAGTTTAAGCAACTGTAATGAGATTCAAATGTGAAAATACACATGGAAAAGCCTTGTAAATCCTAAATTTCTCTACAAGGCTGAAGTAGAATTACTGTTATTTGAAAATAGAAGACTTAAAATGGATCTATTCTTATTCTACTCCAAAGCTGTTTCTCCTACCACCTGCACACACAGACTTCCCACCAAAATCCAGCTCTGACTTTACCACCTCCTCTGGGAAGCCTTCTGGATTGACTGCTTTCAGGATCTGTTGTTTCATGACCCTCTTCCTGCCTCTTTCTCTATATTTCACATTTGGTTGTTGGAGTCCTTCGGTTCTTTGACACAGCAGAGTTGTGCATGTCTCTGTGCCTCCTACAGACACTGTCGAGACCCAGGACAGAGCTTTTGGACTTCCTTTATTCTAGAAGCTCAACACTTCAGGATGTAACACGTCAGTACAATGGGTTCATTACCAAAACAGAGACACAGGTGGTTCCAAACCAAGAAATACTGGTATTGGGCTGTGAGGCATGAAGTAAAACACCCATGCAGACATGTGTGCATGCACACGCACACGCTCACACACACAGAGGCACCCCCACACCTGCGCCTGGTTCCCTAGAACTTGCCTATATTGTGGCTATCCAGTTAGGGCTTGTACCCAACACTAATTTTATAGTTTATCAAGTGATTTCCTGTACATTAAAGAAAATGGTTCTCTTGACAGCCTCCAGCAGAGAGAGGTCTGGGAGTGGGGATCGCTGTTCTCTTTTCAGAGCAAAAGAGGTGTCTTGCCTGACCATTCCTCCGGGAATCCGGGAGTCCTGGCCATCAGACTCCCAAGCCTTGGTTCTTTTGGACAGGGCTGTGGCTGCAGCGAGTGGGTTCTGGAAAGTGTTCTAGGGAGAAGCGGAGGGGAGGTGGCAGTCGGGGGGCTCAGGACCTCCAGAGGCATGAGCCTGGGAGGCGGTGCCCTTCTTGGGTCCAGCAGGCATCCGAGTTCTGACCGCACGTGTGTCCCTCTGAGCCTGGCTGTGGCCTGGCCTTGCTGAAGACCTGGGAGCTGAGCCTCCTTCTTCTGGAGTCACCCTCCTCCGGCTTCTGGTGACTCTGCCCCTGGGGGCCTCAGCAGGAAAGGAGGGGCTGGAGTCTGAGGAGGGGTGCCGAGGACCTCCACCCAACCTTGGGTGGGTTGCCGCTTCCCCTCCTCCCAGTAATGCTCCCTGGAAGGAGGAGGCAGCAGAGGGGCCTGGCGGCACTTGAGGCCTGATTGGGCATAAGTGTCTGATAATGACTCCCATCAAATGTCAAGCGGCCGTGCTGCGGCTCCTGGGGTTGATTGCTCCCTCTGGGTGGCGGGGGAGTCTGGCCCTGGATGCTTCTCCACTGCGGAAATCCCACCCAGGGCTTTGTCTGTGAGGGAGCTCTTCCTGGCTGTGAAGGGCCCCACGCTCAGGGCTGCTCTCCTGCGCCCAGCTCCCGGCCTCCCCCGACCTGGGAACCGCCAAGTGTTGGCATGGCAGGGGTCAAGATGGTGGAGAGAGTGGGGCTGAGGTTAGAACGGACCCTACCTGCCCTGGGGGTCCCAGGACTAGCAACTGGATAGCGGAGGCAGAAGCTCAATTGGGTTCTTGGCAGAGAATGTCCCCCTCCTTCAAAGTCCTGTGGGCTGTGGCTTGGGCCTCTTCTGAAGTACCACTGTTACTAGTACTTAAACCATCCCCAAATTCAGTTATTTAAAACAGGAAGATTTCTGATTCCTCAAGAGACTCTGGGTTAACTGGTGGTTCTTCTCGTCTTACCTGGGATCTTTCAAGGACCTGAGGTTGGCTGTGGGGTGAGGGGGCACCTATGCTGATCTAGGATGGGCTCTTGGGTTTGGGGTCAACTGTCCATGGGCTGGCTGAGGGTGGAGTGTTAGCTCCTGTTACTAGAACAAAATACCTGAAATAGGACCTTGAAAGATAGGGAAGGTTCATTTTGGTTCATAATTTTCTAGGTTTCAGACCCTGGTTGGTTGGCTCATTGCTTTGGGGCCCTGTTGGCAGGAGCATGTGCTTGAGGAAGCTGCTCCCCCCATGGCCTGAACCAAAGGCAGAGAAAGAGGGACAGACCAGGGTCCTATGTCTCCTTCGAGGACATGCTCCCAGTGATCTAAAAACCTCCCATTAGATCCTTCCTCTTCAAGGGGCCACTGCCTCCCAATAGCACCAGGGGCTGGGGACCAGGTCTTACCACATGGGCTGTGGGGGACACTTTTCAACACCATAAACTCACGGCCTTCACAGAATGCATCAGGACAGCGGGCCTCTCCCCGGTTTCTCCTCCTCCTCCAGCAGGCTAACTCAGGCTCTTCACACGGTACTATGGGTCCTAGTCAGAATGAAGGCCACCAAGCTTCCGGTGGTCTAGCCTTGGAACTGGCTCACTGTCCCAGCCAGTTACAAGGCAGCTCCGATTCCTTAGCAGAAGAAACAGACTCCCTTTCTGCTGGGAGAAGCTGCAAAGCCACATTGCAGAGGGCTGCTGCCTGGTTTTTAAGGGAGTGGTTTCCTCGTTCTTTTTTCCAGGGCGGAGGATTGAACCCAGAGCCTTGCACATACTAGGGAGGCACTCCACCCCTGAGCCAACCCCAACCGCTACAGGGATGTGACAAAGGAGGGAAGATCTGGGGACTGCTGTAATTAGGAAATGGCTTGGTTGTTCCCTAAAAGTTTCATGTTTGGGAAGCTTCATCCCAAGGGTGACAGTATGGGAATGTGGGTGACAGTATGGGAATGTGGGTGACAGTAAGGGGAGGTGGTGAGACCTTTAAGAGGTGGGACCTAGTGGGAGGTCATGGGGGGCCCTGACCTAGGAGGGTGGGGTTGTGACAAAAAGCACAAGCCTGCCCCACCCAGCTCTCTTGCTCCTTTCTGGCAAAGGGACCACTTGCTCCTGCACACGCCACTGCAATCCACCATGAAGTGACACAGTTCAGGGGGAAGCCCTAGCCAAAACCTGCGTTTGGGGCATTTGCATGTTCAGCCTCCCAAAGTGTGAGCTAAATAAGACTTATTTACTTTTTAAGGTAGCTTTTCTCAGATATTTCATTGTGGTAACAAAGAATTGATTAATACAAGACATTTCTGCAATCAGTCTGCTATATCCCACCTCTAATGTCTCTGTCTCCTGTCCTCTGAGGTCTGAGTATGAGCACTTGGCTTTGATTGCCAGGAAAGGACTTGGCAAGGTATGACCATATGACTTGCTAGGATTCTTCCTGGCCTGGTATTCTGAGATGCGCTCATGTTCTTCTGTGAGCAGGTCCATTGTATCACCTGAGCTGGGTGACTGTGGGCTACTCACTACTTCTCTCTCTGCCTCAGTTTTCCCATTGTCGGAGAGAAGTAGTTGGATTAGAATTGATGATCAGATGAGATGGCTATTATTGGGAAATTGCTCTGAAGGGGGCATGGGCCTTATGCCTAGCATCGGGCTAGAAGGTCTGTAAGGGCCTTTCACACTGTCACAGGAGGACTGTGGAGCACATAATGGGATGGACGGGACTGAGCAGATTGGTTCCAACATAAACTCACGGCCTTCGCTACCATTTTCTGCAAATTGGCCCCCAGTGTGGGCTACTTTCCCCTTCAGCACAACTGGGTGTCAAAGCACTTGGTGAGCCACGGAGAAAGCATTTGTAACTGTAGAGTACGGTGCACATGTCAATGCTAGAGTCCCCATCTCCTCCTAGACCACCGCTCTACTGTGGAGAGCTGCTCTCATCTTGGGGACTCAGGGATCTTACTCACGTCTGGAAATATCTGATGTTGGTTTCCCACCATAGATAAATGCTGTTTGGGCTGAAGAAGCATCATGGACTTTACTGAGTTAGACTTCTGGTGGAGGTTGTAGAAATGGAGTCACTGTCTCCCCTCAGAGGGAGGAGCCTTGGGGGACTAGTATTGCTCTCCCAGAGAGCAGGTTCCCGTCAAAATAGCATC